CCAATTAAAATAGGCAGGACCGTATTCGATTTAATTAAGCTAAATGACAGGACAGTACTAGAGATTATTTAATTAATTTTAATGAATATTTCAAAAAGGGGATTTACCATAAACGCTGTGTAAATTAAGTGTATTTAATATCAATTTTCTTAAATACGGGATTTGTTAAAATTGTACTCGCAGATTCATATTTATGTCCAGTAATTAGTTAAGTAATTTTGCCAGTCATATTTAAATATTTGGTATTACATTTGGAGTGAGTAGCAACAGTGATTGTACGATAGCGACATTTAATTTATCCACTTTCCGTGGAGTCCATGATGCAACAAGCCCATTTTGAATGACTATCCTGTAAATTTTATTAGGTGACGATCGTTTGTTTCATCTGGTACCAACGTTGGGCGACGGAATATTGTTTTTGTTATTTGTGTCATTTTGATTACCTAGTATTTTATGGTAATTATTAATTTATTAAAGTTTGCCGACAAATGAGGCATAATAGACAATTGCGGACCCTCAGTTGAAGCAATTGCGGCCTAATAATTATTTACTCCTTTTCCAACAGTTTATTGAGCCTGAACTCTAATAAATATTACATGAAAAATTCGTGTAACTTAAATTCAACAGTAAATAAATATAAAAACTTTATTTGGATGATGGAGGCCTATTGCAGACGGAATGCTTGATGAATAAAGTTAAATTTAAAATACAAAATTAGAGACTAAGACTCAATCTACTTTCACCAAACAAACAAACAAATAAACAAACAAATCAGCAAAAAGCGAAGATAAAAATTAAAAATGAAAATAAACAAACAAATCAGCAAAAAGCGAAGATAAAAATTAAAAATGAAAAACGAGAGCTAAGCTCTAGTATGAGGTATTATTTATCTAATGTTATTTATATATTTATTTATATTTGGGTTGTAGTCGCAGTAAGGAGATATTGTGTGGTTTTAAAGGGGTTGTAGGAGGTCCTTTTCTTTCAGAGTTCACTAAGTTAAATGTCGTTTGGGTTGCGGTTATTTTTGTTGCTCTATCCAAATAAATATCATTATTGTTTGTTATAAATTGTAAATATTTTATACGTGAAACTCACTCCCATAATCCCTCATTTTGGAAGGTTTTATGAGCGATACTTATAAAAAAATAAACGGGAGCCTTCCGGGTTTTTGACCTGAGTTCAAACGTAACTTATTGCCTTTTATTTATTGTATTTTTTATTTCCCTTTTAAATACTTTCCCCATGAATACAACACCTTACAAGTACCTTGGGTTACTAAATTAATGAGCTTTATTACCGTAAGTATTTATTTTATTTATTTGTCGTAATTTAATATAACATTTGCCGTGGTGTTATATTTCATTTATCACTTGGGGTGTAACTTTTTACAGATTCTTTGCTGGGGGGGGGTGTGAACGCTTACAATATATGAGGAGTGATTTTTCAAAAGGCCTTATTTCCATTTTTACTTGAATGTAATTTTTTGACAAAATTCCAAAGGTATGGTTAAAAGGCATATATTAACGGCGAAATATGACAGCAGATCTGAAGTATTATTAAATATTCATCAGAATTTTTATTTAAATAATCTATATTGCCCTAACCCATACAGGTTATAGTCATTTTTTTGAAAAATTGTTGCAAATCGAAATACGACCTTTTGAAAAATCACTCCTCATATATATATATATATATATATATATTGTAAAGAATTCTCTTTACCCCCAGGTTCGTTAAAACAAGTTTTATGAAAAATTTATAAATTAAATATTTTGTGGCTTTGGCTCGTGATCGTCTTAGCCAAATTTGGACCTCTACGCTGTGTTTACTGACTTGTTTTATTAAATGCATTGCTTTAAGAATGATACGTAGGAGAAATAGGTTTATAAGAAATAAAATACAGTGGCTTAATTTACCCCAATTTAATTTACGTTAACTTTCTACAAACAAGCAAGAGGGTTCGGCCAGGGAAAAAGAGCCTGAAAAAAAACCCTGGTCGGCTATGAAGTAGCAAAGAAATACGCGGTCAGGCATTGTACTTTAAAAATTACGCAAATTAATCTATTGGCGATATGGCTTGGTACTGCATTTAAACAAAGATTTAAAACTGAATAAAATTGGTGTTAGTTAGCCGGGCTAGGCCCAGAATGTAACGGGGTCCAAAAGGAGGCAACCCGCCTATTTTAGTTGAATGGTCGGGGAAAAGCGATGCAACCCTAGAGAACATAGGGCCACCTGTTTCTCCTCATGGGAGAAAATTATTAGTTCATACAACAAAGGCCCACGCACACAAACAAAAAATACTCAAAGTTGGACAATAACGGTCAGCACTCCTGGTTAATGCTTAACCACGTTATAAAAAAGGGTACAAAATGATGTGTTAAGCACAAACAAAATACAAGGTTACATTTGAGCGGTACAAGCATTGAGCATAGCAAATTATTAAAATTGTAGTGATAATAAATAAAAGCGAAAATAGGGGTGGTAATAGGGGTAGGGGTAAAAGGGTTAAAAAATAACGTAAAATACAGCTAAACGTAATAGTAAAGGATAAATATACTCATAATAGCAATAATCATATAATAATAATATTAACAATTTAAAAATGCACAATATTACGTTAAGTTAATTTTACTACACATTTAAATAGATTAAATATTTAGAACTAACCTTGTAGAATACACTAACAACACTTTTAACAATGATTTTAAAACAATAATTTGCTTTAACAATTTTACCTAAGAAAACGAACTGTACTGAACCAAGTTCAAAATGCTTCTGCCTCATTTCTTCTTTTCAAAAACCTTCTTCGTTTACCTCTGGTGGAAATTCCTCGCCCTATCTGTACGCCACATGCGCCCTTTTTCAAGCTCAAAGCATACCTCTCTTGTTTGTTTGACAATTTTTCTACCTAAATTTGAAATTTTACTCGCCTTAAATTAAGTTTTATTCCTTATACCTATTTTAAAATTAGAAAAATAAAATATATAATAACACGTATTCTAATAAATTTATACAGGGTATTTCTTTTTCGGAACCATTACAATATATACATATTTCTCGAATAGGAGTGTAGCAACTCTTTGCTATGTTCAATAAAACCTGTCGACTCCTGGTGTCCATATTCATAAAAATTCCTGACATGCTAAGGTCAAGCTCGATGTTGAAATCTGTCTATCCATAGGTTGATACCCGTCTATTCATAGGTTGAAATCCGTCTATCCATGGGTCCCCGCTTTCAGCAGTTAGAACTTGCATTTATGCCAACTCTTGTGTCTAAGAAGGTCGATACCACTGTGCAGGAAACCAACAGGTTCGAGGAATCATCATGTGACAGAATTTCTGTCCTTCAATATGTGTTCAAAAAACTCGTGGGAACACTTACCCCGGTGGAAAAACCCTAATTGAATAATAATTCGAATAAATATTTCTTTCAAACAAAATAAAGTGTACTTACGAAGTTCATTCGGTATTCTCAATAAAATTCACCAAACCAGCCCCTAATATTACCAACATCGGCTAAAGAAACAATCTAAACACCGTTTATCTTACTTAGCAACTATCTTAGAGATAGGATGACTTAGAAACTCAAAGATTATGGAAAATAAATTTGATTGGACCCACCATGCTACTTTAAAAAAAACCCAAAAAAAAAGCCATCCGCTTCTTTTACTTTCACTATGTACGATAACTATTTGCACTTAATAGTGTGGGGTAACTAATTACTTAACAGATCGTAATATAGCTTCCTTTAGACTTCACAGATCGTCTTTCTCTGCAAGCACGTAGGTAGAGACGCCATCGACCTCCCCACTTAAGTCTAGAACTTTCTAGAACAAACCAGAACCCCGAGTGCGCAGGTCGACGTGAGACAATCTTATCAACTTATAAACTTTCCATCATTAATTACTTCAAAATGAATTACAGCGAAGCAGCGGATACAATAACAACATACTGCATAGTGAATTTAACCAAAAAATTATTAAAAAATAAAAAAGAAGAATTGACGAACAAACCCACGGATGACCTGTGACAGATCATGAAATCGAATCTGAAGTTTGTGACCTTGACACCATTTCTAACAAGCCTTTAAAACCAAAAGGAAGAGATAAAATACAAGTAAGAAACCTTAATTATAATAAAACAAATTAATTTCCTAAGGGCCGGTTTATCAATCTCTAGTTAAGTTCCAGTTAGTCTATCTGACAGTTAAATTCCATATCGATTGTTGTGAGAACCATGGAAATTATCTTCTAGATAACTAAGTGCAACTTTAACTGGACATTGATAAACCGGCCCTAAGACAAACTATTCTAACCTAACTCAAACTATTCTAACCTAAAATTATATTTTGCCGACATAAAACGAAAAATAGACCTAATACTGATTGTTTCAAACTCACACATCTACAATTACTGACCTAAAATTATGCCCTACACGTATTGAGAAAATAATCATAAAGGTGAATACCTCAGTAAATTAAAAATAAATCAAACCTTCCTCGGCTACCATAACAATTAAAAATAAATTAGGTTTCTTAAACTCTGTCACCCAAAGACTCCATAGAAATAAACTAAATAATAATTGCTGCTTAAAATACAATATACAGTGTGGACCAGTGAGTACGTAGCGTTACTATTTGTAACGTTATAAGTTTTTCGTAATTATTTTTTAAAATATAAGTAATACATTATTAAAATTTTGTATGTATTTTTTAAAAATCTAGATGGATAACTTTATATAGGTTAGTAAAAGTCCAAATTATTCTCTTAAGGATAAAATTAGGTTGAAAAACTTGAAAAAAGACAAACAAAATAAAACTCATACTGTTCAGTCAAGCGTCATCAGAAACAATCCTAATCTCTCTAAACAATATTACATTCAAACCACCAAAGCCTTATTAAACAGTTTGTTTTTATAGATAATTGTGTCAGGAATCTCAGACAATAGATTTTAAAATACATCGCCTCCTTAAAAAGTTTCATAAAAGTCAATACCTTACCACTGGCTGAAACTCTTTTTGACTAAATAGCCACTTTACTGGCGTGTGCAAGGTCAACAACATCCCAAGCATGATTTTCATGTCACTTGTTATTGCACCTATCCACTGATTGCTGTTAGACTTTGAATCTCCGTCTACAACTGACACCTCTTGCCTCTCAGCAGTAAAATATATGAAAAATTCGTCACAAGCCTTGACTTTTCTCCCCCTTTGAGATCTTCGAATACTCCCTGAAATACTGAACATTTCTAATGCTTACCATTTATTGTAAATTATGGTTAATTTGAGTTTGTTATTTTGTCAAATGCCAATTAAGGTTATAATCAGTGGTTACTATCCGTATTCCAAACCGGCGATAAAATAGTTTATCACAAGCCAAATATAAATACACTGGATCAAGTAGAAAATCTACTTAATTGGCATCACTTTATACTATTCAAATTAATTGGTACAGTTGATCTTCGACTAACGTAGTCACTTTTTCATCTGTTTATTTAAAGTGCAAAAAATCAAAATTATGAACTTTTCATAATATTATGCTCTTTTGTCGGTTTGTTTTATTACTTGCTAGCATAAGCCGTTTTTTTATTTTTAATAATGGTTATTATATTGAGCCTGTTAAAAATTGGACGACCCAGGTCACTCTCAAGAAGCTCAATTTTTTTGTCAAAAATTAATTTACGCTACTGAAAAAAATATTCTTTAAGTACTTCTAATTACTCCTTTAAAATATAAGTTAATCGAAGTTTTTGAATAATAAAAAATTCATAAACAATCTTTTTTTTGCTGGAGCAAATAAAAAAAATATAAAAAAAACTTTGGCCATTTTTAAAGGCCCGTGGGCCCAGTTTAATTTTAACTTAGCCGGCTGTTTTTTTTGTGTCTTATTAATCGACATTCACAACGTTTCCACGGTAGCGCAAAATCAAATTAAAGAAAAATTATTTCGGCCGTCCCAACTACACATACACCTCTACACATAACGTCAGATTCAATTAGCGTTATTTATTATACTCCTAACCGTTATAAAATGTTAATACATTTTATTACCAGAATGTTGCTACTGGCATTTATTATTGGTTAAAAAATTCACAAATATTCCCAACCAGTTTTAAGCTAGTTTTCCCTACCAGCTTTTCCCCAGCAGGAAAAGCATTACATAACTAGTCAGAAACTAGTAGGGATTCCTAGCGAGGCCCTCGTTTCGTTTGGGGAAAACCATTTAAATTTCTACTAGGGTAGCGCTGGGGCGCGATTTAAGACCGCAGCACCCCATTATTTAGCAACGCTTTGACCTATTTTGTTTTGGGATATAGTGCTTGAGCTCTATTTGACTATGTGAACAAAAATTCCATTTTTGAAGGCCTGCTAAGATCTACTGATAGGTCGTAATTTAAAGTTTGACAATTAGGCAATTTTTCTTTTTATGCAAAGTTTGACCTTAATATCCTATATATGGTGTTTGTCACAGCTTTTTCACTTTTTGACTGACATTTTGACATTTCACTTAAAGCATAATAGACTTTTATGCAAGGTCAGTCGAGAAGTAGAGAATATTTAAAATTTTCCAACTGACAAACACCCTTTAAGTATAAGGAAATTTTGTTTAAAGGTTTTTTATGCACGTTTAAATCGAATGCGTTAACCATTTTATTCGAAAAAAAAATCCTAGCGATCGTTAACTAAATTTTGATCACATTAATGCTGATCTTGGCAGGCCTTGCAATTTTTCCACATGGTAAAATGAAGCTCATCAACTCCCACAAATACATATTAAAATAAATCAACGAGTTCCAAAATAATGGGCTGGTACGGACACACCGGTCATTAACTATTTGTACATTATAGCGATTGCTGCTCGTGATTCGAGTTTTTGTATCCATAAATACAAGAATCGTATATTTTGTTTTAATTTTATAAATTTTATAATATAGAGTAGAAACTCAATGTGTACTTTTCAAAGATATATTTAATATGCTCCGATTCTGCCATTTTTTACTAATTCTTTACTCGCTCTGAAAGAATTTTCTTTTCAAAAGGCAAATCACAAAATTGCGGCCAGCTGGGCACCAAGAATTTTTTTTCCTTAGGTCATGAGAGAGTCTTGAAATTTTTTCGACATCGCCTTTTGGAAAGAAAAGGTTTCGTTGTAAACCGTCTAAAGCCAGTATAACAGTCTGCAATTTTTTTGCAGCAATATTTCTTGTAGCAATCCCAGTTTTATTGCGGACTGTAATTCTCTTAGCAATTCCAATCACAACTTCCATGATACCAACTGAAGAAAAATATAAAGTATTATAAAGTAGAATATATATTATGTAATAGAATTTGGGATACGAAGACAATACAGACAACACAGTGTCATAAGACATCCTAGCTTCCCTAGAAAAATGTGGATTGGTAAGAAAACAGTTACGAAATTTTTCGTCAGACTGGCAAACTGGCAATAAAAATAAGCGTGTCTGTCATTATAATTATTTAAAAAAAACATAAAATGCGCTATGCTCTCGTAAAACTATTAATTTTTATACAATTTCCAATTATAACATACAATGGTAAATTTAAAATCGCTTATATCTATGGCCTACCCGATGTATTTATTATTACAACCTGTGGAATATACACAAGTTTTTGAGTAATGAGATGAGAATTAAATAAAAATCGATTATAACAAAATCACTTAAATATAATAATGTAATGGTTATTTATGTCAAGAGATGAGACTTCTTGTACTAAGCTTAAAGGTCGACCTACAATTGAACAAATCAAAAAATATTATATGGGCCGAATAGCAACATTTAACATTTTATCTTTAAGTTTTTATGTTTTTAAAATTTAAAGCCACTTTATTTGTTAAACAATACATGAAACGTACCATTATTAAAAGTAAAAACCATTTTGAATTTTATGATTGGATACGGGGGCGAAAAAGTTTATGAAATAGGCAAATCACTAACGCCTAACAACTAATTACTAGCCTTATAAAAGTTTTTATCTGTTTACTGCTGATTTGTATGTGCCTATAATTAATTACTGCAGTGTCGAGCGTTGTCGATAATAAAGTTTAATTTAGAGAAGACTTGAAGATCAAATAAATTGAAGGACTTTGAAAGTTTTATGTTGTTAACAGGTTAAAAGTTTTGAATATTTACAGTAAATTAAACAGAATTCCAACGATTTGTTTGTTTTTTTTAAAGTACACAAGTCAGGGTGAAGGTAGCAAAGAGTTTTAAATTGAAATATATTTAACAAGTTATTTACGGCTGCTATATTTTAAGAAACTCCACGAAACTCCTGCTTCCTTCAGTTATTTAAAAATAACTTTAACTGGACAAAAGTTTTTAATAATTTAAAATAAAAAATAATTAATAAATCATAATGTAAATTTTAATATCTTGCAATATTGAATTTTAATGAATACCTTTTCCGTATTATTAAATGGATAGTTTGGTTTGGATGGGAATAATAATGGCATTACTATTAGAAACATTAATTTGAGAAATGTACGCTGACCCTATTAAAGCTTAAGTTTCCAATAGTTACAGGAGCCCACTAATGAAGTTGAACGTAATTATAATAGATAGATGGAGACATTAGTTTATTCAAACTTATTCTGGCCATATTACAAACATTAATTTGTTGGGTATTTAATAAATGATTTTATAATGACTGTATTTTTATTTTCAATATCAGTTTGTAAAATTGGAGCAATACGATATCAATAACTTGGTTAAAGATTATAAGTTTAAGCGTATTATGAAAACCTATAAAAGAGGGTATAATCTAATTATACTAGACTATTTAACTTTTTAGTAATTCAGGTTATTATATACTTTAATGCAACGACATAATAAGATTTATAGTGTTTAGTTTCAAATAAAGTGCATACAAATTTATTTAGATGAATAAATTACAGTTAAGTCAAAAAAAATTGTGCAAACTGTTAACAGTAATCAGTTAAGCATTAAGTAAGGCTTGTAACCTTTACTTAAGTTCCAAATTAAAAAACAAAATAACTTAGGGCTGCTACTTAATCCGGTGCTAAGTGTGGTTTCTTTTTTTTTTTAATATTATTTTTATATTCTTTCGTTAAATTCGAAACAAAACCGACAGGTGGTCTTGTGTGGGGAGGAAAATAAACAATACAATTATATACGACACAAATATTTATTTAAAAAAGGTTATTTAGTTATTTAAGATAAGACCTGAAGATGGAACATGAGATTGTACCGAAACGTCGTCAGACATACGGTTCTTTTAGGAACCAAAAACCGACAACACGGATCAGATCCCGGAAAACCATCAATACATATAACGCCCGTGGAAAACTAAAACAGAACAACTTCTACTGAACAACAGAATTACCGAAAGGTGTTAGCAGTCGACTACAACCAACAACTCTACTTTGAGATAAACGAAATGAACTTCAAAGCCAGCATCCAAAATTCGCCAACTAACTTTTTATGCTCTCTGGCAACCATAACACAAATGGAATCAAGTCAAAATTTTATTGTGGATGAAATCTTTCAAACATTAAACACAACACAAAATGCAAAACTTTACAAAAAAGCATGTTTGGAATGACTTGGAATGAATTATACACAGTAAAACAATATTTGTTAATTTTAACCAAATAATAACCAGATTTTATGTTAATCCAGGTCCACATAACTTTGTTAAGTTTACAACCAACTGCAATCTGTTAACTAATTGAATAAGTAGTTTGTAATTATTACAAATATTTTGAATTCTTGTATTTTTTACAAACTTTTATGTAGACCCAGTATCAAAATTATTTGTTGTAAATTGGAAACTTAAAAAATAGAATTTGTTATAAGAAATGTTGCTTTATTAAACAATTTTCTAAATAAAACATAATTAACACATACCTACATAAATGAACACAAAAATAACATACACAAAATTAAATAACACACCATTCTGAAACACCCGTTGACGCTGACACAACTTGTTGATAAGTGTTGGAAATGTTTTGATTGGCTGCCTGAAATCACGTGTACTTTTTCAACGGGATAATTTGTTAAACATTAACAAAATAATCTCTAACCTTTGAAATTAACAAAATTGCATTTTACCTTTACAAAACTTTCGGTAAAAAATGTTCCTTTGTTAAAATAATTACAAACCCAGGTTGTATACAAAAAATTTTGAAAAAAATTTACAAAATAAAACTATAAACTCAAGTTAACAAATCTTATTTTTATAACAG